CCGCCTGGCGCCGCTCCCGCAGCTCCTGCGTCCGCTCGCGCCGCGCCACGGCCAGCTCCGCTGAGGGACACCGGTTATGGGACATCACCATGGGACATCAACCATGGGACATCACCCATGGGACATCACTGTGGGACATCACCCATGGGACATCACCCATGGGACATCAACCATGGGATATCACCCATGGGGCATCAACCATGGGACATCACCCATGGGATATCAACCATGGGACATCATCCATGGGACATCACCGTGGGACATCAACCATGGGACGTCACCATGGGACATCAACCACGGGACATCACCCCATGGGACATCACCGTGGGACATCACCGCGGGACATCACCGTGGGACATCACCCCATGGGACATCAACCATGGGACATCAACCATGGGACATCAACCATGGGACAGCCCCAGTCAATGTGGAAATATGGATGGAGCTGAGGATGAGGATGGGGACAGACAGGGATGAAGGTGGGGATGAATGGAGAAGGATGGGGATGGAAATCATGGCTGGAGATGGACACTGAAGACAGGGATGACAGGGATGGGGATGAAGATGGGGATGAAGATAAGGATGAAGATAAGGATGAAGATGGGGATGAAGATGAGGATGAAGAGGGGGATGGGTTGGAGCTGGGCACAGCCAGGCTGATGTGGCACATGAGTGACCAGGACCCCTCACCTTCCAGCGCCTCCTTGGCCTGGGTCAGTGTCCGGCCCTGGGCCTCCAGCTGCTGATTGTGGGCCTGGAGCTGGGCCAGCTCCTGCTGCAGCTGGAACACGCTGCTCTCCAGCCCCTCCTTCTCCGACCTGTGCAACGTGGGGCACGGGGCTGAGCATGGGGCTGGACCCATCTCGGTACCCCCAGCCAAGCCCGGTACCCACCCGAGCCCGGTACCCCCAGATCCCGGTACCCACCCGAGCCCGGTACCCCCAGATCCCGGTACCCACCTGAGCCCGGCCGCCTCTCGGTTCCGCTGCCGGTCCCGGCGCTGGGCAGCCTCGAGCTGCACGGCCAGTCCGGCCCCGTCCTGGGCCAGCGCCGCCTGTGTCCGGCCCAGCCGCTCCTGCTCCGCCCGGAGCCGCTCCTGCTCCGCCCGCGCCCGCGCCAGAGCCTCGCCCGCCGCGCTCTGCTCCTGCACCGCCTGCGGGGACAGCCCAGGGGACACCAGGGACACCAGGGACAGCCCCGGGACAGCCCAGGGGACACCAGGGACAGCTCAGGGATCACCAGTTACCCCCCGCACCCCTCCCAGTTACCCCAGACACCCTCCCCACCCCTCCCAGTTGCCCCCGATGCCCTCCCAGTTACCCCGGCACCTTCCCCCTCTCTCCCAGTCGCCCCAGCGCCCTTCCAGTGGCCCCCGCGGTGCTCACCTGGCCGAGGCTCTGGCGCAGCCGCTCGTGGAGCCCCCGCAGCTCCCGCAGCTCCTCCCGCAGCCCCCGCCCGTCGTCCCGGGGGTCCCCCCGTGCCCGCTCCGGGCCCCGCCGCTCGCTGCCGGGCCGGGGGCCGCGCTCCAGCCGCGCCCGCAGCAGCGCCAGCTCCCGGCACAGCTCCCGGGTGCGCAGCCGGCCCCGCTCCCGCTCCTGCTCCAGCCGCTCCAGCCGCCGGCTCAGCTCCGCCTTGTCCCGGGCCAGCCCGGCCGCCAGCTCGCTGGTCCTGGCGAGCGCGTCCCGCAGCCGCGACTCCTCCGCCTCCGCCGCCCGCCGGGCCCCCGCCAGCTCCCCGCAGCTGCCCTGAGCCTGCGGCCGGACAGCGGCTGGAACCGGACCGGGGGCTGGGGGGCACCGGGGGGCTGGGGGGTACCGGGGGGCACTTGGGGACACCCGGGGTATGTGGGGGCACGGGGACAGCTGGGGCACGGGGCTGTCCCCACGGCAGGGCTGGCACTCCTGGGGATACATCCTGGGGATGCGCCTGGAGCCGTGCCCGGCCCCGCTCTGGGGCGGCTCCGGACTCCCACCTTGCCCAGAGCCTCCGCCAGCGCCTCCTGCTCGCCCCGGGCCAGCTCCGCGTCCAGCAGCGCCCGGCTCAGCGCCTCCCGAGCCTCCAGCAGCTCCCGCTGAGCCCGCGCCCGCTGCAGCTCCAGCTCCTGCAGCTGCTGCCGGCTGTGCGGGGACAGCGCAGGTGTGCGCACCTGTGTCCCCCCGGCACCCACCCGTGCCCACCTGTGATCCCCGGCACCCACCCGTGCCCACCTGTGATCCCCGGCACCCACCCGTGCCCACCTGTGTCCCGCGGCACCCACCCGTGCCCACCTGTGACCCCCGGCACCCACTCGTGCCCACCTGTGTCCCCCGGGAACCCACCCGTGCCCACCCGTGCCCATCCGTGCCCACCTGTGCACACCTGAACCCACCCGAAACCTCCTGTACCCCCCGGCACACCCACCTGTGTCCCCCGTGTCCCCCCCGTGTCCCCACCTGCTCTCCAGCTGCTCCCGGGCGCTCTGGGCATCCCGAGCCGCCTCTTCCCGGGAATCCCGCAGTTCCTCGCTCTGGCGCCGGAGCTGCTCCCGCTCCTGCTGCAGAGCCCCGGCCCGCTGCTGCTCCTCCGCCAGCGCCGCCTCCGCACGGCCCAGCTCCCTGACGGACACACGGACACGGGGACATGGGGACACACGGACATGGGGACACACGGACATGGACACACGGACACCATGGCATGAGGGCACCAACACATGGACACGGGCGGGTGGCTGGACGGACAGACGGACACAGCTGGGAGGAACGGACAGACGGACACGGAAGGCTGCAGGCACGCGGTGAGGGCAGACGGACACAGATGTGTGGACGGACGGACGGACGGAAGGACGGACGGGGCGGTACCTGCGCAGCCCCTCGGCCTGGGCCCGCAGCCGCAGCTCCTCCCGCTGCGCCTCCTCCTGCGCCCGCCGGCAGCTCCCGGCCTCGGCTCCCAGCTGCTCCAGCCGCTGCTCCAGCATTCCCAGCTCCCGCCGCAGGCTCCCGGCCGCCTCCCGGCCCGCCTCCACCTGGCTCCGGGCCTCCTGGGGGTGAGCCTTCATCAGATCCCCGTCCTCATCATCATCATCCCCATCCCCATCCCCATCCCATCCCGGCCTCACCTGCAGCTGCAGCTGCCGCCGGCTCAGCGCCGCGTGAACGGCGGCGGCGGCGGCGCTGGCGGAGAGGCTGCGGAGAGGGGACACCCCGGGACACGCGGGGGACACCCCGGGACACGCGGGGGACACGGAGAGCACGGCAGGCTCGGGGTCATCCGCCAGCACCGCCTGTTTCCGGGAAATCCCGAGGGAAAGTGAGGCAGGGGAGGGAATTCAGGCAATGAGGGCAGGAGCCAAGGTGAGAAAGGGGGAGTTAAGGGAAGGGGAAACTGAGGCGGGAAAATCAGGTTAAATAAGGGGGAAAGTGGGTAAGGGAAAAGGGAAACTGAGGCAGGGAGGGGGAAACCGGATCAGGAAATGCAAAAATGAATCAGGGAAGGGAACACTGAGGCAGGGAGGGGACACTGAGGCACGGAGGGGACACTGAGGCACAGAGGGGTCACTGAGGCACAGAGGGGTCACTGAGGCACAGAGGGGTCACTGAGGCAGGGAGGGGACACTGAGGCACGGAGAGGCCCCTCCTGGCTGTGAGTGGCCCCAGGGTGTCGCAGCACCTGGGTGACCTCGTGCAGCGTCCGGCGCAGCAGCTGCAGCTCGGAGCGCAGAGCCCGCGCCTGCTCCAGCTCCCGGGCACGAGCGGCCTCCTGCGGGCCCCGGCACACGGTGGGGTCGGGAATGCCGGGGGCGCCCCCCCCGACACCCCCCACCCCCTGCGCCCACCAGCTCCCGCAGCCGCAGGCTCAGCGCTTCCACCGCCCGCTCCCGCTCCTCGTCCTCGCTCCGCCGCTGCTCCAGGGCCGCCGTCAGCTCCTCCGCCCTGCCCGGGACACGGGCAACGTCCACCCACAGCACATCCCTGCCCTGCACCCCTTCCCATCCGTGCCACAGCCCCAGAACCTTCCCTGTGGAACATCCCCCATGGGCCCATCCTCCTGGTGCTCCTGAATCCCCTCCTGGTGCTCCTGAATCTCCAAAACCTTCCCTGTGGAACATCCCCCGGGTGCTCCTGCATCCCCCCTGGTGCTCCTGCATTCCCTCCTGGATCCCTGCATCCCTCCTGGATCCCTGCATCCCTCTGGATCCCTGCATCCCTCCTGGATCCCTGCATCCCTCCTGGATCCCTGCATCCCCCCCTGGATCCCTACATCCCCCCCCTGGATCC